GGGGAAATTTCAAGAATGAAGTAATCTGTAAAAGGGGGAAGTGTTGCTAAGGTTACTAGGGTTGCTCAAATGCAGTGAGGCCACCTGGTTTCTGAGAGACCGTTGCTTATCTAAATGGTGCAACCTGAGGTGGTTTCAGTGTAATCTGATGTAAGCAACTGTTGGCTCCCGGCACCCAACTTGATTCAGCCACCCAAGGCAGATGATGCAAGTGCAGTCGTCATAGAGGAGAAAGCCACAGCAGCGATCAGTGCCAAGCCACAAGTCACCAACCCCAAGGCAGAGATTGCCAAATTTGGGAGAATAAAGGGGCTATGGCTCATTCCACAGAGAAAGTTCGAGGGTGATTCTGCATGCCTCTTGCCAAAGCAATTTTGTTCCTGTCTCAATACACATCAAGGACGGTGTCTATGAAGCCTTCATGGAAGAGATGGAGGGGGTGGAGTGACAGCTCACCATCACAACAGACACTGTGCCAAGAGGTGGTTGGGAAACAAGAGACTTGTTAAACTTAGTGAAAGAGCTGCTGCTTCCACTGTCAGGGTTTTCCTAATTTCAGTTCCAGGAATCACCTAAAGTTTAGCCTTACTTGAAATTTACTGCACGGGGGGGGCGGGGGTGTTTAATTCTGAGCAGATTGGCTGCTAACAACCGGTCTCCCTTGATGTGGCCATTTTCATCCCATTCCTGTCCCCTGAGCACTCTGGGAATTTGTGATCGTGCATTTTAGTCACTTGTTTTGATTCTCCAGTGCTGTGGGTACTGGAATAGAGATTTCTTGGAAGTGGGGGGAAGCCAGTTTATTTCATCTTGGCTCCTCCAAGATGTATTTGAGTTACTTTTATTATTTTCCTATAAATATTTTGTACTATTTTACTTGTAGTAAAATATTACAATATCATTTCCTAATTCAAAAGAGTATGTATGGGAAGAAAACATAAAATTCTATGACTAAAATTATTTCCCACTGAAGGAAGAAAAAAAAATGCCAACAAATGCTGGCAAAGATGGGGAAAGGGGAGCATTTATCTCCTGTTGATGGGAGAATGAATTGATGCAGCTACCATGGAAATCAGCCTGAAGGTTTCTCAAAAAGCCAAAAATAGAATGACCATATATATGATCAGCTGCACCACTCCTGGGACCTACCCCAGGGACTCTGTATCCTACTACAGAGCTACGTGCACACTCATGATCCTTGATGCTTTATTTGTAATAGCTGTGAAATGGAATCAACCATCAACTAATTAATAAATTATAAAAATATTGTTCATATACCCAATAAAATTTTATTCAGCTCTAAAGAATAATGAAATTAATAGGAAAAATGGATAGACTGGAATACACACTGAGTGAGGTAATCCAGGCCCAGAAAGACAAATGCCACATATTCTCTCTCATATGTGGACCCCAGCCCAACTATTTAGATTTGTGTGTCTAATTTGGAGTGTCTGAAGAAGTAAGGAAGCTAGAAGGGGACTATGAGAGGGGTGAGATGAAGAAGCCTTACATGGAGGAGGGGATAGTAGAACACATGTGATATAAAAGTAGAGGGAGATAATACCAGGAGTTAAAGATTTAAATGGGAAATGTGGGAGAGACTGGGATGCAGTATTAACTAAAACTAATGTTGTATGAAAAAGTCTTATGGAAATCTACTTTATAATCTATTTTTTTTTAATTAAGAGGTTTGAATGGAGGTATCCTGCATAGGTAGACAATGCTTTCCACAGAAGACATGGGTAATTAAAATCTTAGTGTCAGGTATACCATGCCTCTAGAGAGGCCCCAGAGCACCCCTTCTTCATGCTGCCCAACACAGGCTATTGCTATTGCTATTGGTCTTGATTGACCACCATAACCATATGGTAAGACCGTGTTGCTGAAGACATTACACACTTTGTGATAAATATAGATTATAGATCATTCTAGAACTGACCTGGGAACTTCCTCCTTGCTGACTAGCTTTCCTGGTGCTGAAAGGTGTTATGTAGGTCACTGAAAATGAAAAGCCATCAATGAACTTACCCAGTAGTAGACCCTGCATGCTGCAATACTGACCTTCCAGGCAAGATGTACCCAGGCATGAAAGGAGCAGGACTGTTATGGGAGTAACCAGCTGCTTTCTGATTAGATTTGAGGCCTTTTCCAATGGAGGAAAATTACACACTTGGTACTGTAAACCTGGTCAAAAAACTATAACTTGGGAAATCACAGGCCCTAGAACCTGTTAGGTTCCTGGTAGGCTCCTAAAATGGTGGTGCAGCTCACATACTTTGAAACAGTAGGTTCAAATTTATCCCCAGGCAAGCCCTGCTGCTTACTAGGGGACCAACCAATCCTGAGCTGATCTGCCCAGCCTACAGTCATGAAAACTTATCCACTCACCTGACTGCCCATAAAAGATATCTGACTCCCCCTGCGTGCTGCTGTCTCTCTGTTGTTTCTTGCTGCGGTTTTCCTGCTCCCCCGGGAAGGCAGCCCAATGTTCTGTTTGCTCTCAAATAAACTGCTCCTCCCCCGCCCCATGGAGTTGCCTGGTCAGTGATCATCACCGTGTCATCTTCCATATGTATGGTGCTATGACTCGGATCACCTTTCTTGGAGGTCACCTGTGGGGGACTCTGGTCAGATGGCTGAGACTACCAGCTCCTACACTCACCACTAATTTGGCACTGAGGTACCTTCATTTCTCCCACAGAGCTGTGGATCTGTCTCTCCTCTCTCCTCTCTCCTCCCTCCTCCCTCCTCTCTTCTCTCTCTCTCTCTCTCTCTCTCTCTCTCTCTCTCTCTCCCTCTCCACTAAGACTTAGGTGGCTCAGGAACTCCTGGAGCTTCCCACTGGGCCCCAATGCTACCCCTTCCTTCTCCCTTCCTTTGCCATGGGCTTGGAAGGCTCTGTCTTCCATCGTTCTCCCTGTCTTTGTCCTCTTCCTCACTTTGCTAGGGATGATTTCTGATACCATTCAATCCAATTTTAGGTCTCCTTTGCTTCCATTCTTTAGGCCGTCTCTCCTCTTCCCTCTAACTAGTTATGGATTCCCTGCACAGGAGAAATGCTCCGGATCCTTCTACTTTCTTCCCCTCCTGAAACTCTGGTTCTGCTTCTAAACCAAACTGCAAATGTTTAGGTCTCTGTTACCTGATTTTCTAAATTTTTCAGAGAAAAATTTCTTCTTTATATCCCTTTTTAAAACATGCTTTCATGGCCAGGCGTGGTGGCTCATGCCTTTAATCCCAGCACTTGGGAGGCAGAGACAGGCAGCTCTTTGTGAATTTGAGGCCAGCCTTGTCTACATAGTGAGTTCCAGGACAGCTGGGGCTACAGGGAGACTCTGTCTCAAAAAGACAAACAAAAAACAAACAATGCTTTCATTAACACTTTAGGTTGCCCAGCATCTTGTACTAATTTAATTTTCTCTAAAGTTTTCTACTCCCTGCCATGTGTCTGACCTCCATGCAGGCTCTAAAGCTGCATTGCATCACGGCTTTGTCCTTAAGAACCAAGGATAAAGTTTGGGTCTATTGGTGATGTACACAATAAAGTTTTGTGTAAGTACTGTGAGTTAACCGATTGCACCACTGGAGCTCCAACACAATAAAGTTTTATAACCTTGCAGTTGATTTTAGCTTCAGGGCAAAACAGCTTTTTCATAGAAATTAATTTTGTCAGAAGATTATCTAGTCACACCAGGTGTCAATGAACTTTAAAAAGTTAAACCTCAAGGGAGCTGGAGAGACCACTCAGTAGTTAAGAGAGGACTGAAGTTTGGTTTCCAGCACCAACAGTGGGCAGCTCACAACTGTCTGGAACTCTACCTCTAGGGGGAGCCACCGCCTTTAGCTTCTGAGGGCACCCGCACACACATGCACATACACACAGACACATACATATAACTTAATAAATAAATCTTAAAAAGTCAAACCTCAAATCTATAGAGACAAAAAGGCCAAAATTAAAGGATCCAAAAATATTTCCTCACTTAGTAATGGTCAGACCCTAACTGCTTGGGGTCTGACTTAGTAACTTGTGATTCTTATGCAAAGAGTTCGGACTAACTTTTAATAGCCCTTGGCACCTCAGCACAAATCGCCAATTTCAGGGAGGGCAGGTGTTGTTAGAAAATTTACTGCCTCAAGATAATGCATGGCTTTCTTGGATTCTCTTCAAATCTGACCCCACACAAATGGCCCAAAAGACAAGGCCAGGTAACTTTGTTTAACTGTTATGTACAAGGACTCTGTTTCCTCTCAAGGGTGTGCATTTCACTGCGTGAGAATTTGCTGCTATTTCTGTCTACAATGTCTATTGTTTACTAGCACTTTTATGTCCTTTCTCATCTGCTAAACGCTTTTACCCTGTGCCTTGGGTTTATCTTTCCAGGCATAAAAAATCAATTGCAAGTTTAATTTTACCTGAAAGAATAAGTTTTACAATCAAAATCCCATTTGCCAAAGCTATATATAAACCCATGACAAAATCCAAATGTTTGCTCTTCTATTTCGTTTGTTTTGATTTAATTTGTATAATTCATCCCAAAAAACTGAAAAATAAAGCAAAAAAGTATGTGAAACCCATCGTTCATATTGTCTCATTCGTAGCTCTGGACATCTTTCTTCTCCGAACTTCAAAGCCTTATCAGAATGGCAAAGGGTTAACTGAACACTGAAATTACTCTGCTCCAAAATGGGAGTAGGAAGAAACTTCCCCAAATCAGAATGCCTTCCACTTCCATTAAATAAATACATAGTTCTAGATATCTCCTTTTGCCTATATCAAACACACGAAATGAAATCTTATTCTGCCCAAGGCAGAAGAAAGCAAACTGCAGCCTAGACCCTGGTCCCGATGCTCCTCTGGTGGGTCTGGTGGACAGGACCTGAACTGCAGCCTCCGGAACGTAGGTGGCGCTGTGGGAGGCCTGGGTCTGCCTCACGGCCGCTCTTTTCCCCAGGCCGGGACTGCGCTCTGCGGAGGAAGAACAGAGAGAAGGTGGGTGCTGCGCTGGCGGGCGGGTTGCCCCGGACGGCGGCCACGCTGCACTTTTCACTTGCCGTGTATAGACTGTTAAATGGTTCTCACACGAAATAAGTGCTGACAGTCGTGCATTTTCAAGCCTGTAGCACAGTGACCAGGATTTAATTGACACTAATTACTTCTGGGGGCTTCAAATGCACTTGTTCTTGAGCAGGCCCTCAATAATAAGCTGTGGAGCAGGGTACTACAGCCTCACGGGAAGCCAGATAAAACTTTTCAGCCCTCAGATTGTCAGCAGCAGGGACAAAACTTTCCCCCAATTTACAGGTACGGTAAACTTAAGAAATTGGAAAGTTTTTTAAGTTATATTTTACAGTAAAACGGATAGAATCCATTTCTCTTAAACCTGAGTGAGTACAAATGTTATGGCACTTAAATCTTGTAATACCTTAAATGCGAAATACTTTTCAAAATAGTAGTTTAGGAATGAGATGCTGTGAGGTAGTGGGATAGGAGAGAGCTGAAATCGGAAGAACTGGATTATCTCACCTTCCTCCTAGCTAAGATAGCTGGGACTAGGTTTCTCCTTGTTTAAAGGAGGGTGAAGGGTTGGACTAGATCTGAAGGATGACCACCGTTTGGTCTGCATCCATTGTACTTTAAAAAATGTTAAATCCACATCTGTATTATGCAGTAGATAGTATCACTCTTATAAAGGTGGAAATTGAGAATCGGAGTTGTCTGCTCAAGAACATGGTTTAGGGACAGGAGAGATGGCTCAGTGGTTAAGAGCACTTCTGCTCTTCCATTGCATCCAGGTTTTGGTTCCAGCACCCACCTGTCTCTCAACGGTCCATAACCATAACGTCAGTTCCAGAGGTTCTGGCTCTCTGTTCTGGCCTCTGAGGGTATTGCAGGGTAAGACAGGCAAAACACAAATGAACTCCGTAAATCTTTGACCAAAAAAAAAAAAGAAGAAGCATAAAATTTTTGAGATTGTCTATATTTGATTCCTCAATCCATAAAGCCCCTCTTTCAGTTATTTTTTATTAATTTAAACTGTTTAAAGTGTCCTATTAAACAGGCCTCTCGTGGATTCAAAATGTATTTTTTAATTGTTTGACAGTTTTCGTGCATTTCAATAATGAATTGTTTTCATTCCCCCGATATCCACTCTCACCCTCCCCCTTTCCCACGGAAACCTTTCTTCCCAACACATCTCCCTCCTTTGCTGTCTCCTTTTTGTGTGTGGCCACTGAGCTGGAGTTTCTTGCTGGTGCGTGGGTAAGAGGGTACTTACTGGAGTAAGGACACCTTATCAGTGGCGCCCCGCTGAAGAAGGTGACACCTCTCCCCCAACAACAGTTGCCAATAGTCCCTCAGGAAGGAGTGTACAGATTTCATGGGTGCAGCTTTTCTATCATGTCTAGAATGCATCATCTAGCAGCAAGCATCCTGTTCCTCTGGCTCTTACAATCTTCCTGCCCTTCCGTAATGTTCCCCCCTGAGCTTTAAGTGTAGGGATCGAATTGTAGATGTATCTATTGGAGTTAGACACCAAACAATCACTTATTGTCTGTATTTTGATCAGTCTGGTAATTTTTTTTTCCAATGTTAGTTGCCAAATATATTCTGGATCATTCCCCTGAGAAGTAATTTTACTGAAGTAGAAGAAAAACAAAACACTAAAATATGACTGGTCCTGACTTTGTCTAGGGCCATGTTGTGCCATAATTTCGTGGGGCCCCACCCTCTTGATTTGAGATATCCGTACCCTCAGGGAGGTATGTAAAGGGGCAGTTCTTCATTTTCCTATTGCGTCTTTCCTTCACAAGAAAGAAGGGGAGAACAAATAAAATACAGGTTATTGGAGAGCAACATGCAATAAATGTAGCTTAGTGTAAATAGAAGCAAATATGGAAAATTCTCCTAGTGTGTTATACACACACACACACACATAGTTTCTTGATCATGAGTGCATACGGAACAAGAGGTGAGTGATGGGGAAAGGAAGGCAACATAAAAATAACAGGCAACTGGACAGATCATGTAGCTAGAAGTGACTGATATTTGCAAGTGGGTCTGCAGACAGATTACCAAATTATTTAGTAGTACAATGCCAAGTTTCCATCATCCCCACTGTGTGTATGTATGCATTATCCCTCCCACCTTTACAACAATAAAGGTTTTTAAGTACCACTTAAACAGATCTCCAAGTGACTACAACTTGAGATTGGTCAATGTTATATGCAAATAAGTTCAAGTTTCTTCAGGGTCAACAACAAGAAACATAAGGAAAGAAGTTGAAGAAAGTGATGGGAAGATTTAAGATGTTCTGATGGAAGTTTACTTGCTGTTAACATTTCATTTGATTGGTTATGTCAGGGTGTTATGTCTGTGCCTTGAGCTTATCATTAGTTCTTCAGCTTTTTTTTTTTTAACCTTTAAAAAAGATCTCCATTTTATTTTAGGATATATTGTTCCTTGCAGAAAGACTCATTGTTTTTGCTACTAACATTGAGATGTTCGTGCATGCATCTCTAATCTGTATGTATCTGATTATTACTAGTCATAATCAGTTGCACTTGGATCCTTCGCGCCTGTGTATGTCTATAAAGTCATCAGGTAGATTTCAATGGTAATGTTTATCACCTCTACTAATTAACATGATGTGAATTTCCATGCTTCCTCCTCAAATATAATACATTTTTAAAAATTTGTTGATTTTGTGTGTGTGTATGTGTGTGTGTGTGTATCACACAGAACATCCCAAACCATCTTATTCAACTATACATTACACTTACAGTAGTTCTATCCAAAGTAGTTGAAAATAGCCAGCCAGCTTTTACTTCTACATTAAAAGTTTACTTATTGAAATTGAGTTTTTTTCCCCCAAGAAGCACTGATAATTTGCATACCTGTGAAGAAACAATTAAGATTTTGAATTCTTCATACTTTCTTATTTAACCACACATCTTGAATTTTCGTTCCAGTCATACATACAAAAAAAGCACTATGGGGCAGGCATGTGAGAAACAGAAAAAAAACTCTTAAATGAAGAGTTTTATTGTTTTTATTTATTTTTTATGGTTACATAGAACAAATTCTTGACGACTTAAGACCCTTTTTGGGTCTCAGTAACCCATATTTTTATTGGAAGTAGGGTTGTTAAAAATTCTTATTAATTTGATAGATATATAGACACATTTATGCAATATGTGATTTGCTCCTAGGAAAAAGAAAGACAAAACAGCATGCTTATCTCTCTAAGAAAGATAAATAGTGAAAAGTATTGCTTTCATGCTTTCCAGAAAATATCAAAAGCAATAGGAATTGTGGCATAGTAAGTCTCTTAAAATATGCATGTGGTTTGGAGTCCAAGTATTGGCGGTCTGGTAAAGAATTTAACATGAACAGTGAATTATTAAGATGAATTTAGAGGCCTGGATTTGCAAAACACATACTCCCTTGATTGGTACAAATAAAATGACTCTGCTACAGAAAAAGGAGATGACATTCAAGCATTCTGCATTCCTTTTAAAATGAACATCCCTAATGCCAAAATCAGAATTCTGAAGTGCTTCAAACTCTAAGTAAAACTTTTTGAGAGCCAACATGACACCACAAGTGGAGAATTCCTCATTTGACCTTATATAATAGACTACCGTTAACGACCTACACATACTATTCACTGCATTTTTGCTTATTCTCTGCTCTGTGGTATAATGATATTGTTTAAAATGTTTAAAAGACCAGCAAATATCCCTGTGGGTAACTGTAATAAGAAAAGAGGAAGCATTTATGTTTATCTCTAGCACAGAAAGTCAAACTGTTGGAAGAACTGGACAATAGTGTAAGTGTAAAACATCTTACTAAAGAGTAGGGTATTGGAATGACCACTATATATGACCTGAAGAAAGAGAAGGAGAAAATTTTGAAGTTCTGTAGTGAATGTGATGAGCCAAAGTTAATGAAGAATAGAAAAACACTGCATAAAACTAAAAAATGAAGTCATCTTCATCGAGTGCTGAAAAAGTGGATCCATCTGTGTCACAGTGAACACCTGCTGCTGAATGGTGTGTGGCTCATGAAACAAGCAAGGATCTGTCACAACGAATTGAAAATGGAAGGGAACTGTGAATATTTAATAGGCTGATTGCAGAAATGTAAAAGACATGGCATTAAATTTTTTAAGATTTGTGATGATATGGCATATATAGCAGAGAGATTCATTCAAGTGAATATCAAAGAAGTTCTTAGCATTAATAACAAGGCTCCAGGTATTCATTCACTAACCAATTAATTGGTTCTGCATCAAGCTGGCCGTGGTAATGGTGAAGATGATGTTGATAGCACTGCAGAAAAAGTGCCTCTACATAACATGGTACAGCTGTGTGATGAGCTTATTAAATGACTAGAACAGTGTGCATTCATAACAGAACAAGAAATAATGTCCAGTTTATAAAATCAGAGAGAGACCTCTAAGACAAAAAGGTTGTGAATGAGGCAGATGACTCTGGAGGAAACACTTGAAAATGCTGCTGTGTTGTCTGAATGTGTGTTTTTTTTTGTTTTTTGTTTTTTTTTTACTATTTATGTGTGAATAAGTGTAAGAAAATGATTGCTCACTTGTGGCATAGGGTGATGCCAAACAGCAATAGACTTTATACATGGGTGGCTGAGATAGTGACACCTTTGCTTTTGTGTATAAGGTGTATGTGAAACATTAATGAATTTTTATTTAGACTTACATCTTATCCCCTAGATACCTCGTTATACATAACTATTCCAAAATTAAAAAAAAAACAAACCTGAAATACTTCTTGTTCAAAGCATTTCAGATAAGATATTCTCAATCTGTAATAAAATTTCTGTTGGCCATAGTGAGAGGGTGTTTCCACATATACATATACTTAATTTTGGACTTAAGGAGTGTGGTAAGTTATCAACCCTTAGTTCCTGGCACATTGTCATGCACACAAAGTGTAGATAAACTATGCTATGGGGATCCTCCTGTTCTCTTTAATATGCTCTATATACCAAATTCTCATATTACCTTGTTTTTCTTCCCTATAACTTTAATCAATTTTCCATACACTGGTGCAGTGTTATTACACCAACATTACAATTACCTGAATAAAACAGTCTGATTCTTAAATTTAGTTGTGGGCTTTTTTGTTTTTGTTTTTGTTTTTGTTTGTTTGTTTTTTGTCTTTTTGAGACAGGGTCTCCCTGTAGCCCCAGCTGTCCTGGAACTCACTATGTAGACCAGGCTGGCCTTGAACTCACAAAGATCTACCTGCCTCTGCCTCCCAAGTGCTGGGATTAAAGGCATGCACCACCACGTCCAGCTTAAATTTAGTTTTTAAGAATGGACCTGAACTCAGAGGACATGCCTTCCCCCAGATATCTCTTGAAACCATCTGCCCTGAACTGTGCTGCTGGAACTGTGTCTGGAACTATGGAACAGTGCTCTTACTGTTCTGTAGCTTCAAGTGGGGAAGTACAAGTTCAGCTCCACCCTCAACAGCCAGTATTCTTTCTCATCCTTGCTTGTTCGTCCCTAGTTCTAGAATACCTCAGGTACGCAATGCCAAGCTTCCTCCCCAGTCTTCACTGTAGTCAGTGAAGTTGGTGAACTGTCTTTAAGCACTTTGCTATGGTAATTCTCAGGCATAACCACATTCATTTATTATCTTTTGGGGTTGAGTAGTGAGGTTGCCAAGGTTAATTAAAAGTCATTAGTCCAGATCTGTCCATTTTATAAAAGTTGTTCCTACAGACTGTCTTTGTTTTAATTGCATATAGTTGCTTTTCCATAATTAAAAGAAATGCTGTTTGTTTCAGTTTCTGGTTAGAATGATTTTTACCTTTATGTATTTGCTTTTTCAGGCTTTCCCAGTATGACTCTTTCATGCATCTGTAATAGTAAATATCAGGACTATGATTCAATCCTGACAGTATGGCCCTGTATTAACTATTTCCTGCCTAACATTTGTCAGTTGACAGACTAAAATGCTGCTTCCACTTCATTTTGCATTTATTCTTTCCCCATATTCATAGTCAAAGAAGTTTTGAGTGTTTTGTCTGCATATATTAAGTGCACCATGTCTGTGCAGTGCCTGCACAGACCAGAAGAAAGGCATTGGATCCCCTAGAACTAGAGTTACAGACAGTTGTTAGCTTCCATGTGGGTGCTGGGAACCAAACCCAGGTCTTCTGCAAGAGCAGCAAGTGTTCTTAATTATTGATCCATCTCTCCAGTCCCTCAAACAAGTTTATTTTGTTACTCTCATTTTGTTTGTTTGTCTGTCTGTCTGTCCGTCTGTTTGTTTTAGACAGGGTCTTCCTATTAGAAACTTTCATGGGAAAAGAAAGGCATTTAAATGTACCACTTCTACAGCAGAAAACATTGGATTTTTGCCTACTATGGGTATGTTGAGTTTCTAACAGTCTGGGCTAGATAAAGAAATTTCAGGGGCTGGAGAGATGGCTCACAGGTTAAGAACACTGGTTGTTCTTGAAGAAGACGTGGGTTCGAATCCCAGCACCCACATGGAAGCTAATAACTTTCTGTAACTCCAGTCCCAGGGGATCCAACAGCCTCTTCTGTCTGACCTCCAAGGGCATTGCACAACACAGGTGCACTTGCCTACATGCATGCAATACATGCATACACGTAAAGTAAAAATAAATATTTTTTTAAAGTTTAAAAAATAAAAAGAAATTTCAGGCATGTTATAGAATTGTTTTATAGGCATGAGGTAAAGAAAGCATTGTTCCAGCATATAACATTAGTTACTTGTGTACAAGAGAAATCGAGAGAACAGAAATCAAGCAATTGCTTGATTTTGTGGCACTGGAGATGGAACCCAGGATCTCTTACAGGCTACACACTCTGCCATTGAACTGTGTCCCCAGTCTTTTGAATAATGTGTTAAGTGGTGATGAAACCCCTATTTTGCCAGAGTTATCTCATATGCTTCCTCTACAAAGGAAGTAAATAGATTGATGATCGCTGTATTAGGATGCTGTTTTGGATCACTGTCAATTGACAAGTCAGCTTCACAGTTGTTCATTTGTTGTTCTGTAAATATCAAGGTAACCCATATGCCCCAAGTGATGGCAAACTTATTAATGGCTGACAAAAACAACAAGGGGCAGGATGCTGTATTCTTGTGCTCTGCTCACACATTCTTACACTTGGATGTATATTTATTTGTTGTGGTTTGAATGTGACATGTCCCCCATAAGTTCATGTGTTTGAACACTTGGTTCCCAGATGGTGGTGCTGTTTGGGAACCTTTAGCAGGTAGAGCCTTGCTGGAGGAAGTGGTTCACTGGGGGCAGGCCTTGAAGTTTTACAGATGGCTCCTGCTTCCTGTTCACTCTGCTTCCTGAATGTGGAAGCAGCAGCTAGCCTCCTGCCTGCCGCCACGTTGACCCTGCCTGCTTTCATGCCTTCCCTGCCATAATAGATTGTATCTCTCTGGAAATGTGAGCCAAAAGAAACCTTTTCCCTGAAGTAGTAGTAGTAGTAGTTTTGTTGTTGTTGTTGTTTTGTTGTCGTTATTTGGTCTGTATTTTATCACAGCAGTGAGGAAATCCTCTGATTCCCAGAGGATTGTACAGTACAGCCATTCTTCAGGCTTTAGATCAAAGTATCATTCACACAATGAAAGTTCATTACTGAAACCACTTGTGGGAAAACTCAAAATGTAGATGAGGAGGGGAACACTCAACATAAACATGAAGCAAGCATTCCCATGGTTGCCGAGACCCTGTGGTCTATTAAAGTCATTTGTATAATGAGATGTTCACAGGAAACATGCATAGTTCCTGCAGAATGCTCCAAGTTGTACCTAGAAGATTTCAACTCAGTGAGGTATTCAAACAGATTCAGCAGTCAGCCTCTTCCTGTCACTAGTGTCACAAGTTAAGTGTCTGCAGACCTCATAGCTACAGGGAGCAATTTATCTCCCAAGAGTTAGTAAACCCTATAGGAGTACTGACTGGCGTAAAACTGGAACCAGAAAGTTGTAATAATGATGGTAAAGAACACAACATACATGATGAGCAACGGCGAAAACAACCTTCTCTTGGCAAGGGTAGAAAATGGAAAATTCCTTGTAAGCTCCGGTATTAACCGTTACCTGCAGAATGTGCATGTTTAGTGATCTCTGTAGCAGAAATATTTTCAAAAGCTCAGTGTCTAGTTTTCTTCATTACTGAAGTTGCAGAAATACTGCTTTTACAGTCTGTAAAATAGAATATTTAATGAATAAAGAACGTGGTGGCGCACGCTTTTAATCCCAGCACTTGGGAGGCAGAGGCAGGTGGATCATTGTGAGTTTGAGGGCAGCCTGGTCTATATAGTGAGTTCCAGGTCAGATGGGGCTACAGGGAGACCCTGTCTCAAAAAGACCAAAAAAAAAAAAAAAAAGACTACTGTACAACACACCAGTGGGTGTCTAAATGTGAACTTTTAACTCCATAACATTTACAGTACAGGAATTTGCAGTATTTCCCTTATATTGTCATTAACTTCAATCTTTGGAAGGTTTCATTTGCTGCTTCTTGCCTCCACACCCCACACTTCATTATGTGGCAGCAATGATACCTAGAAGGAAAAAATTGTCCCCAAGTGTTGGCAATCCAACTGGGAGAACCAGAAACAAAAGACGCACTGGGATTTAATTGGATACATTTAGAACAGCTAAGAAAAAAAGGTGGAGGAGCTGGCAGAGCCTGTCCTCTCCAGAGCTGCTGATCAGCAGTGAGTAGAAATGGCTGCTTACTTAGCCGTTTGGATAAGGAGGTGCTTCAGGGTCAGTGAAGGATGGCAGAGAGGATGCAGGCAATAGAGGCTGGGGTCAAGCAGAAGGAGGTCATACTAAGCAAAGGAATGCTAGTGCCTCCCTCAGGCTACCATGGAAGGATGGGCTAGTGATGAGGGCAAGTGAAAATGGCAGAAATAAAGAAGGGAGTGCTGTTACCCTGTGATGATCTCTCCTGCTTGCAACCCTGGCTTCAGTGTGATTCATACCAGAAAACCATTCTCCAGATTGCATCCAGTTCACTACCCTGGGGAGGGAAGGAGGAGGAAGGCAGGCAAGAAGGAAAAACAGAATCGCCATTTAAAAAGAAATGTGACAGTCACTTTTGGCACTTACTTAGAATTTAAAAGAATGTGTAATTTTTTTTTGAAAAAGAGGTTTATCACAAAACAAATATGAAAGAAAATGTAATTTTTGTTTTTAGGTAATCTTCCTTACTGAAGATGTCTTCAGCACCCGAGCCGCCAACATGTCAAAAGGAGCCACCAAAAGAGAGAGACTTTCGAAACCCAGGACTCCGAGGGGTTCGCACAACAACATTATTTCGAGCTGTGAATCCAGAGCTCTTCATTAAACCTGTAAGAATCCAGGGGGTGCTAAAGAGATAGCTCAGTGGCTAAGCGTGCCAGCTGTTTTTGCAGAGGACCTGGGTTCAGTTCCCAGCACCCACACGATGGCTCACAACTGCCTGTAACTGCAGTTCAAAGAATACAACGCCTTCTGACCGCTCCAGACACTCCACGTATATAGTGCACATACATACCTGCAAGCAAACACTCATATACATAAAATAAAAATAGATAAATATTTTTTAAAAGAAATACACCCCAGGATACGTTTTTATATTTAATCAGGCTATCAGAAAAAGAATGTTTTTACTTTTCTGTAGCATTTGATTTTTATCATGGACTAATAAGACCTCTAAACTGATTGTGGTACCTCACGCCTGTAGTCCTAGCTCTCAGAAGGCAGAGGCAGGAGGATAACCAGCAGCTTCTCCATCCAAGTACTAGCCAGGCTCTACCCTGCTTGTCTTCTGAGTCAGACAAGATTGAGCTGGTTCAGGGTGTGTGGCTGCAGACCAAGGATCAATTTCTCAGACTAATGTACTAGTTTAATTGTGCATTAATTTAAAACACTTCGTTGTTTGATCAAATAATATTGAAAAATTAAGCCTTCCAACTGATATAGAGACCAAAATGAAAATCTTGGAAGTCTTACAGACAGCAATTCTAGTCTTCTTTTTCCCTGTTTCCTTTGTGGGTTTTTTGTTTGTTTGTTTTTTGAAACTGTGTATACCAAGCTGGCCTCAAACTATCTTTGTAACCTATAATAACCTTGTAACTCCTGATCCTCTCCTCCTGTATGCTAGTATCACAGGCATGCACTACCATGCCTGGCTTTTAGTTATTATTATTGATACTGCAGACATTTTGTGAAAAATTCCAAAATATACATTTATACCCTGATATAAGTAGTTAATTATTTATATTGGTGTTGTAAATTAATGAAGATATTTCATTTGAATTTTATTTTAAAATATAAATTCTATCTTCAAATAAATATAAATGAAATAAGATGATAAATATTGAAGTATTTCACATTGCTAAGAATTTTAATAACATTTTCCAGCATAAATTGTTTTAACATTTAAATAGGTCAATTAATCAAATTATTTTTTTTTAATTATTTTAAAATCCTTGACTACTGTGTTCTTTTAAATGCTGAAAGCCTTTCATAATTGGAAATTTTAAAAGTTCTGAGCTTGTGGCCTTTCTTAGATGTTTATCCAGATGGAAAATTTGACCCTTATTTTAAGATTAATCTTTGAAAGATTAATAGCATGTTAATGTCCCCTGAATGTGTTGACCTTTTCGGTTTCTGTCACCCATGGCCCCAAAATATTAATATTTGTTTTGACTAAAGAGAAAGAGAATTATATTTATATAACTTTGCTTACAATATGATGTTATAATTGTCCCATTTTATTTATTGTTGTTGTTCATTGCATACTGTGCCTAATTTATAAGTTAAATTTTATTATATATATAACCAGAAAAATACAGCATACAGTGTATAAATGTTCAGTACCGTGTTTGGTTTCAGGTATCCACTGCAGGTTTTGGAATGTATCCTCCTTGGATAAAGGGGATTACTGTAGTAGATACGGAGGCAGAAAATATTGTTTGTATCACTACCATGCATGTACACTACCCAAGAAAAAGCCAGTTTGTTAAATATAAACATGTACAAAGTGGATGTTGTATAATTTCAGGGATTGCCAAGCATAATAGACACACTACTTCTCTGGAAGCCTTCTTCCCCCTTAATTCAAAGCTACATCACTTTGATTTTTAGGGTCTTGGATTTTCCAGCAATATCTAAACATAATTAAAACAGCATAGTATCTGTTTCACTCACCAAATTTCTTGAATTAATAGAATATTAATTCAAGGTATACCTTGTCATTGCTGCCTATAATATTGGTTATGAAATCTTTTACAATTACCATGTCTTGGGCAAGAAAAGTAGCATTTGTACTGCATTTGTTACTTTCTAATAAAATAGCTACGTTGATATTACAATGTAGGGAAGGCTTCAGTCCAGAGAAGATAGAGATCACCAGGTCGATATCCATGCTCTGCTCATGTCTCAATTTTCCCCTTCCTAGGGGCAGAGGTTTAAGCTGTCCAGGCTGTAGAGAGCAGACTGGAGATGAGAAATAGGAGTCTTACATCATTTGTGAATACTCAGAAGTTGAGCTGATTGAATAAAATATTGAGTAAATGGGGTAACAGAAATGCTGCCATCGCAATGCTACGGTCATAGGAAAGATTTGCCATGTCGAAAGGAAAGTGTACTAGATGTTTGGATTCCTGAAATTATCAGTCTTAATGAGGCCTTCTTATTTCTTTCTTTACAGAACAAACCTGTAATGGTTTTTGGATTGGTAACCCTTTCAGTCTGTGTGGCTTACATTGGTTATCTACATGCAACACAAGAGAACAAAAAGGGCCTCTATGAAGCTGTGGACAGTGAGGGGCACAGTTATATGAGGAGAAGAACATCCAAATGGGATTAAGGTGCTGCTTCCGGCAGATGGAGCTTTATTACAGGCTCTGAAATCTTCAAATGAAGGACTTTATGAGCATATAGAATTGTGTTCCTTGTAGAACATGTTAATGAGGAGAGAATATAGCAATTGCAACCAATCTACCGAGGTAAAATTTGTCCTGTTAAAGCTATTACCTCATTCTCAGTATTTCTTCTATGGAAGTGCCATGAGGCTAGAGTGGTTTTGTTAATTACTAAATTCTGTATAATAAATAAATTTGCATAGAGTTTCTTCTAATGTAGCTGTGCTTTGCTGTTTAATAGAGACGATATCCCCCCCTCAGGTACTAAAAATAATGATTAAGTGAAAGAATAAACAAAAGTAATTAGAGTTTTTCTTTTTAAAGTATGTTATACTGGGGCTGGGAAAAGTGCTTCCCACCCAAACAAGAGGACCTGGGTTCAAATTCTAGAATTGGGTATAGAAATTCAAATCTATAATTCTGAAGCTCCTCTGGTAAGATGCACAGTGGAGGCAGGAGAGTTCCCAGAAACCTGCAGGCAGGCCATGAGTCTGGTGTATGCACTGGCAAAAGAAAGAGGCAAACTGACACCTGAGATTTTCCTCTAACCTCCACACTTGTACCATACTCTGCATGTACCCACCCTCACATACATATACACATATACATCATATACATACATACACACCTCATAAACATATGCAGAAAAAGATAAATGTTATACTTACAATGTTTTTGTCTACAATTAAATACTGCCTAGGCTAATTTTTATAAATTGTTACAATAATAGTAAGAGTAACAGAAGACCAAGTATTCTTATAGTTATTTTAAAACTAGAATTACCCAATAAATAAGGAATAGGGAGTCCAATTCCCAGTACCTACTTTGAGTGGTTCACAACTGCCTCTAACTGCAGCTCCAGTGGGATCCGATGCCTCCAGCCTCCATGGGCACCTGCACTCACAGACACACGTACACACATAATTTAATTTTTTTTTTCTGGGGCTACACTTTGTTCCTGTTTGGTGTGTTACACTAGGGCTCATGCCTCTTGTACAGAAAAACTATTCCTGTGAAGGGTCAATGGCTGCATCTCCTTTTCTTGGCCAAATGATGATTCATATTAACATCTAAGACAGAGTTTGTTGGAGCATGTGGCTTCAAAAGGTGATCCCTCTTAAAGGAGATTAATTCATTAATAGGCAAAATGCAGATTAGAACAAAATAGCAAAAGAATTGTCTCTTTTTAAAGGACTTCTGGGTCTTTACTTAAAAAAGACATTCCTCCTTTGGCTGGAAGACTTCAAGTGGACGATGCTTCCTCTGTGGTGTCACCTCCAGGGTGGCTCTAATTCCACTGCGGAGCCCTCAGCAGGGCTTTTGCATAGCAACATGTTCTGTCCAAGAATCTCCCCATGGTGGGTCCAGGTACCACAAGTGTTCAAGCATCACTTAAGTCATGTCATTTTGTCAGTGAGTCTGGTTCCGCCCAACTGAGTCCTGAGAAAGTGGATCAGCTTGGTCTCTGTGAGGAACGCTGTCCCAAGGGTCACTCCTAAGCAGATGGCCCCCACAATGATGTGTGCCAGCCTGGTGGGCCAGCCCTGCGGACAGCAGAGGAATGCCTCTGAAATACCAGTAATCCCACCACTGAGAGCAAACACCCCAATGAGGACTGGTGACAGGTACAGGCCGGCCAGGGGTCTGTGACTGCTCCCTTGGAAGTAGTGGTGGATGAAGTAAAGGCCCTGTGTGATCCAAATGCCCATGTTAAAGCAGTTGGCCAAGATGAAGCCCACACTGCCACACCAACTGGTCAGGAGATAAGACAACACCAGAAAGGAAGAAGACAGTGCCAGCATGGTGAAATTGTACCTGTCAACCTCCTCTTTGCTCATGGCAGCAAATGTGAAACAGTCACTCCATTTATGGCAAGCAGGAGGACATAGAGACAGTAAGAAAGCATCAAAACAGGACCTGATCCTGAGCTAAGCATGGCCCCTCTGTAGATGTCCAGAGCCAGTTGAGACTAGGCAAAGCCAAAAACAGTGATGGTCAGACCGACCACCAAGGCCAGCTTGAGAAGGGACTCCAAAATGGCAGCAGCCACAGCAATGTCCTACTTCTAAAGTGTGGCATCCTTTTCCCTCTCCATCACCTTAGCAAAAAATATATAAAAACTCTCCTCTATTGCCTGGAAAATCAACCTGGCCACAAGGGACCCAAGATTATTCACTATATCATATACACCCTGATCACCAAAATTTAACACATTCAAAAATGTCATCCCATATCGCTCGCCTTCTGTCAAAATCTGTTTCAAGAAACTGTTTGAAAAAACTCCACGTCAATTTAGCCTCTTCCCAGTTGACAAAAGTTCTTCTTCAAGTAATATTAGGTAACAGATCTGTTATTCTGGAAACAGGAAGAGTTTGTTGCTTGGTTAATTCTGGGGAACGCAGTACTTTTGTGAAATACATAACGTAGCAGAGCACCAGAACTGCAGTATAAAAAAGCTGAGCCAGAGAGAAAATGTACAGACTCCAGTGAGGCAACCACAGCACTAGAAAAGCTGTCAGGACACTCCTGAGGATGACTGACATGCTCTCAGCAATTACCTTGAACTTAATGAATATGTGTGCTTGTGCCAAGACCCAGAAAGGCTCTCCTAGAAGTTCCACCACTGCTGAGACACCAAACAGCACAACTCCAGTTCCATAGTTGGCAACCACATTTGGATCAGGCACCTCTAGCAACTGCAACCAGATCCAGCCCAAGAATAAGGACCAAAACACACCCAGGGGAACTGTTAGCCACAGAAGGTTAAGGGTTTGACTCCGGCTCCGCTGGGTACCTCCACTCAGGCAAGCTCTGCAGAAGGCTTCTCTGGCCAGGAAAATGGTGGTTGAGTAAAGCACTGTTAATCTGTAAAGGAAAAGCAGAAATTGGTTAGGCCTCCAGGTTGTTTTTGTTTTGTTTGAGTAATTACTTTTTTTTTTCTTTTGAGACAAGGTCTCCCTGGAGCCCTAGCTGGCCTGGATTTGCTATGGAGACCAGGCTGGCCAAAAATAATTTTTAAAAGAATCCTCGGGACCAGCAATCAAGATGAAGTATGCCATGGGCAGCTGGCCTCAGAACCTAGGGCACTATGGCTCCCAAGAGGCTGAGTGTGTGCTAGACTAGGAGGAGCCTTATCTCACAGGATGAGTGTTTTCCTGACCTTAGGTACTTTTATATTCTCAAAATTCTAATCTCAGGATTTTGTAAGTAAGAAAGAACAGAGTCAAAGATTGCAGTAGCAAAGCCGCAGGTGCCGGAGCAATGATAGTGGTGGTGGCTCTTGGAGCAGTGAGGCATGGGCAGGATGTAGGTAAATGGCCAGAGGTGGTGGACAACTCTGACTACTGAGAGATGGCGATATTTTGTGCCCCTCAGCCCTGGCCATGCACTCCCCAAGGGAGGGAAGGTGTGGAGTTTTAAGCAGGAAATGCCCTTTGTGTTTTAATTAGAGGACTTAAAACGTGACTCCAGTGAGAAGATGTTTCATCTCCTGTTCCACCTAGACACAAAAAGGCCAACCAGATCTTTGACCATGAAAATAAAATACTCAATCCATCTGTCACTTTGAGCAAAAGCAATAAGGGGCTCTGTCCAATATTGGTGCCCCTCTAATGAGGAATTCAAGTCAGCAAGGAACTGTTGCCTCTCTATTTGCTGCACAGAAGCCAAAATACTTTCTTAAACAAAAATATAATCATGGGGATAGAGTAATGAAGACAGGAAAATAGTGGGAACCCCCTCCAGTGAGCCTGGAACTGTGGTCACCTCTTGCAAACCTGAAGCTGTGTTGCACAGACAGGTGGATCTTAGGAACTCCCTTCATCCAGTCTCATTGAAACTGTGAGCTCTACACTGAGAGTCCTTGTCTTAAAAAATAAGTGGAGTGCAATAGAGGAAGACACCCAACGTCAGCCTCTGGCCACATGCATACACATGAGTGTGTATATACATGCACCATATACACACAGAACTTAGTTAATTGAGTTTATCTACATGGATCTAAATTAAATCTTTACTACTAAGTCCTAAATAGTTATTTTCTCCATATAATATACTGCACCTAGTTTTTGAAAATATTTTATGTGGATGAGTGTTTTGCCTACATGTATGTAAGTGCACCATTTACAGAAGAGGGTGTCAGATCCCCTGGAACTGGAGATACAGATGGAGTTAGTCACTATGTGGGTGCAGGAAATCAAACCCAGGTCCTCTGGAAGAACAGTAAGTATTCTTAACTGTTGAGCCATCTCTCTAACCTGGGCCACATAGTTTTAAAGTGTACTTAAGTGGTATTAAATGCCCCTAATTTAAATCTTTTACTTGACCCGTGTAATTTGATTATTACAGATCTAGCTTTCTTCTGTTTTCAGTATGAGCTTAACGTCGCATTACCATCTTGTGGAATTTTTTTACTATCATCAAAGTTGATACTCAGTGTCAAGGGAGATACTAGTTGTGTAAACTATTAAGAGATTAGTACAGAAAGGGCTTCAAGAATTGGACAGCATACAGCCTTAAACCATGTGACTTCTGAGTGAAAGAAGTAAGGCAGTAAGAAATACAGTCAAGCACAGGCCTGTGAGAAGTAATATGAGGGAAGATTCACATTGAGTTTTAAGAACAAGTAACTAAATACTACTTTCTACATAGTGTTACAGGTTATAGCACAGTATGTATATGCAAAGTATTGAAGTATTAATGTTTTCATCCATTCTCTATTGAATGAGGGCATAACCATATAAAATAAAATAAATGTACTTTGAAATAGTCATATAATTTTGACCTTTGAACTTTGTTTGCTCTAATCCTGTCATCCTACAGTTAATTCAATAGGTAGGCTGAGAATAGTTACAAGATTTATCCAGGGTCACAGTGATTCTCACCCTGAGTAGGAATTTGGATTTCTTGGTGCGCCTAAGTCTAGGGATCTCATCACCATGCTATGGCTCCTCTTAAGTGTTGACATCCATGTCACACCCAAGCAGCCACATTAGCTCACAGACAAAATGTTCAGGTATTAAGTACAGAAACATTCCTATATTTTGAAACAAAAAGAATGTGAAGGATTGTTAATTGCCAAATCCAATGATCCTCAAAACTACCTGCTAATCAAAACTGTTTATTAGACTTAGTGCACTAATGGAAAACACCACTTCAACATAGTTGTGTTTAGGAAGAAAAGGCTAGGGGAAGATAGGAATTTGAGTCACACAGTAGAAGAAGTCTACCGGAGAGTGGGAAAATGGATAGATTACATCTTCAGGCAAAGTCTTAAAAAATACTTTTACAATTACATTTGTTTCTTGGCATTCTGTTTACTGCCCCCCCACACCCTTTTGTAATCTCCCTCCCATCTTCATCAGCACTCCATCCACCCTGCAAGTCCATTTCTCACATCCATGTCTTTTTGTTTGATTTGTGACCCTTTGATTTTAACCAGGACCTGCTGACCTAGGTTTGGATCTACCCTTTGGAACCTGGTGGGCTTACTGTTCGATACACAGCTGAAGACAATGCCCGTCCATTACCCAGAATCAGCAGGGAGGATTTGGGGTTCCATGAGCCCATCCCCAATCCATGATTGAATTTTGATAGGCCTAGCCTCATGCAGGCCCAGTGTAGACAACAACAGATGCTATGAGATCATGTTTCCAATAGCTGTGCCATGCCCTGAAGCTGGCTTTTCATAATCCTTCTCCGTTTTCACCTCTTATATTCTTCCTGCACCCCCTTCCACATGTTCCCGGAGCCTTTGAAAGGGTGATATACATCCTACAAGAAGCTTCTTGACTAAGGCTGAGAGTAGTATCACTTGTCTATGGGTATAAACACAAATATTTACAATGTAGTTTGGCTCCATGTCAACTTAGCTAAACAACACTTCTGAGTTCCCTTTAGTGCCTATGACCTCCACAGCCATGAGTTTTTGACAGGGTTTCCATGCCAAAGCAAGTCTTGATAAATAAATTAGTCCAATATGACCTCTAACTTTTTCTTAACTCAGCCTCCTGAGTCCTAGGAACCGTTGTGCCTGGCATAAATAACTTTTTTATCCAAGGAAGTTACCTTTTGTTCTGACAGATGACCTGTTTGTCCAAAATCAAAAGCTGATAGATGAAATGCTTTTCAGAAGTTTCTTCGCCAGGCAGAAGTCTCTGTTTTCAGGTGGAATTCATCTCTTTTTATAATCCCTTCTCCCAATCCCAATTAACTATATTCTTGCACCATTTTTCTGGCAACATTTGATAGAATTATTTAAAGTTCTCAGATAGGTATTGGGCCATATGAGTCAATAAAGATGAGATTCATGAAGGAATTATAGGATGATTTTTGTGGCACACTTAGCCCATCACCCTATAGGAATTCTATTTTTGGAGGTATTGATTCATTATAAAATCAACTCTGTCTGGAGATATTATGTATGACATTGTTAAACAAGTTTAAATTTTTTTCAATAGCTTCATATAATCAACTGGATTATGTTTATAATAGGCAGACTTTCTAAGGCTTCTCTATAGTAACAAATTAGATAATTGTATGATATTTAAAACCAGGCTTAACTGGGCATGGTAGCCTGTAATTGCAGCACTCGGAAGGCAGAGGTAGGAGGATTGCTGCCACTACGATCCACAAACTGAGTTCCAGGCAAGCCAGGGCTCTGTAGTAAAATCCTGCAGCAAACAAAACCCCACAACCCATCCACACCTGGAAATCAGGCTTAGTGATTTTTGAGTGCTGACTTAATGAAAATAATTTTGCAGTGATGATAACATTGTATTTCCCAGTTTTATTGCCATGCCACCAAAACACATGTATAAATAACCTGGAAAAAATTAAGGAACTACTTCCATTGATGGCATTACAAGAAAAGAATTTTTTAATAAATTGATTTAAAATGTGGTCAGGTGAATAAGGCTCTCTTCCATGCTGAAACATCTAGAGTATGATCTCTGGAGCCTGTGAATATGTTACTTTATATGACAGAAGGGACCTTACAGGTATGATCACGTTTAGGATTAGGAGACAAGATCATCCTGGCTTATGTGGATGTCCTTGGCACAGTCACAGAGGTCCACAGAGGGAGGCAGAAGATCTGAGGAACAGGTGATGTCACACAGAAACAGAAGCCATGAGCCTTAGGAACATGTATGGCCTTTAGAAGCTAGAAAAGGAAAGGAAACAGATTCTCCCTGAAAGCCCTCACAAGGAGCCAGCCCTCCTGGCATCTTCATTTTAGCCCTAAAATCATTTTGGATACCCACCCCCAGAAATTTGATTGAATAAATCTGTGTTGTGGTAAAACCATGAAGATTACGCTAATTTGTTGTAGCAGTAACTAGAAGCTAACCAAGTATCTGGAAAACAAATGGCGGCTATGTCATGCTCTCATTTGTCATGATTTCAAGCTGCTTTTATGAGCAAAGCTTGTCTTACCTAGCAACAGTTGCTAAGGAAGCTGACAATGCTAGACACTGGGAGAGAGTAACTATTTGTATCTTCTCAAACCCAGCGCTGACACCTTGTATGGCAGAGGCTTTTAGTACCATTCTTAACATTAAGTATATAGTGACTACCTAATCATGACAAATTATTTAGTCTTTACCAGCCTCTAGCATACTTTTAGAACCCTGTCCCTCTTCCAGCTTTCTTAAACTTCTAGCTTCTCTAAAAAAGGATCCTAATGTTGTTTTAACTGTAAGTAGTAGAAGACACCTGAAATTTAGCTATGATCAGAAATCTAGATTACACCAATTTTGTTTGCTGTGCTGTTTGTAATAAAATAATTCCACCAGCCCCTTTTGGGGAAACCTTTAAACGGATCCATGAATACAAGCCATTTAAGACACGCTTTTACACTCACAAAGATATACTTGGTAAGTAACTCCATTGTTTTCCTTTGCCATAACACAATAGTGTTTTCTGTCATTCTTTCTGTTACGTTGACTTTATCAGCTTTTCCTTGTTTGAAGATGCTTTTCTCTCTAGGAATTCCACCATGAAACGATACGTGTTAGTACTCAGCTTCTTCGCTTCCCAGCTTTGTGTGTTTGATAGTTTTTGGCCCATTAGTGTGTTTCTTGTTGTAAGAACCTTAATGTGTATCTTTTAGTTTTGAAGCATTATTGAAACACTATACCTATGATAATGACTGAAACTTCTCCGTGCACTCCTATAATAGCCATGCTCTTCAAATCCCTGGCAACCATTCATCAGTGTATTTCTCTGTCTCTGCTTTTGTCACTGTGAGAATGCTACCAGAAAGAGCCATACAATATGTAACCTTTCAACGCTGACTTTTTCATTTGCATAATGGCTTTTGGATTCGTTGAAGTTGTTCATACCGATAGTATCTCCTTTCTCAGCATGTGAATTTTTGAAAAGCTCTGTCGATGTCTTCTGCAGTTGAGGTTGAAAAGAGCAAATATAAAGTAATGATATTTAAACATCAAAAAGGATAATAACCCCTACATTTGTATTACATTTTAGTGAATGGTTTGCACCTGGTCACATTTATTCTTATATCTTTCATAAATGTTTGAATACAATGTTGAGGTATTCCAATACTTGTCCATCTCTACCATAGTATTTACTGATTTATTTTTTAAGATCCACTATTGATCTAGTGGAAATGATTCGATGCCACAAAATACCTTTCAGTTATAGGTAATGGAAACACAACTTAGAATAGACTGCCTGAAGAGGAATTTTATAATGGAATTTAACAGAAACTCACGAAGGAATCTAGCATCACATTTTCAATCAACCAGGCTTGCTCTCAACAAACTGGCTCAAATGTTTGCTTCTATAGCCAGGCCAGCTTCAGCATCTGGAGAAGAAAAGCTGTGGATGCAAGTTCTAAGAATCTCTTAAGCCCAGCTTAGAAATCCCAGGGGAAAAGGGGCTATTTTTCTTTTTATATCTTTTTATAAAATCCTAGGGAAGAGCCTGGCTGGCCAGGCTTGAGCATGTGCCCCATTCTTGACTAATTTCTATAGGAAGGAGGGCCAAGAAAGTTGGATACTGGTATTGGCAGTCTTACTAGAGAACTCTCACATGAGGAAGTTCTCGAGAGAGGTGGGTTTTGTTACCACGGGGGGGGGATGTTGAGCAAACACACTTATCCAGGATGCTTAACCTGTGAGTATTGCCAAGTTAGACACTGTGAGAGAGAGATGCACTGCTTTGTATTTTTAGGAATTATCAAGACCTACTCTCATGGAAAGCTAGAAATTCAATTTATCTAAAATGCAAAAAAATGAAAGGAATAAAGATAAGTATGATAAGAATTTAGATCAGAAAGAAATTCATGGTTTCAATACTCAAAGGGCTTGTCCTTCTTACAGCAATCTAAGAGCCACTCAGATAAGAAGGGATAGACAAACCTTGTGACCAGTCAAAAGGGCTCAGTTCTTAGCTCTTAGTCCAGAACTGTCCCTGCCTATCTGATTTTGTGTGGTTTCTCTAACTTCTCTAGAGTTACTGCCTTGACTGAGTAGTGAAGTTATTTGGATGACAGATCACTGATACAGGAATAATAAACTAGCCCTTTAGCTCACTCTACAACTGATGTAGTTAAATTCTCAAAGATGCACACACTAAAGAAAGGCATATACATAATGTAATGAAGAAGGCATTTAGCTTTCACTGTCCTGATGGAGGTATCACCAGCATCCTGACAGGAACAAGCCTAGAGGAGCTGAATGATGTGCTAATACCTTGTGAGTTCACTGTCTGACCCTGAGTGTACAGAGTGCATGAGAAAACTGACCCTATTCAGGCCTTAGTGATGAGTTTCCTCTTAATTAGGGAAAAACTTCCCCTTTCAATGGGTATCTTTAAATAAGAAATTGCTGGCCAGGAGTGTAGCTCAGTGGTAAGGTGTATGCTTAACATGCTGGGTTCAATTCTCAGTACTAAAAAACATTGACATCCCATTAAAAAAATGTATCTTCTAGGTGGCTTGCATAAATAATGAGACAGCGATAGAAAAGAAAGGCAAGGAGCAGTTTACAGAGATATGTAATCATTTCTCTTCAAATACACAGATATTGGGGCAAGTATTTTGAATCAAGAAGAACAATTTCAAGAGGCTGTACTCAAGGAAAACATTGCAAAAGCAGAAGCCAACGTATGGAGTCAGGTAAACAAATTTAGAAATTAATGTAAAATACAACTCTACCATTTTCTCACTTTTAAAATGTACCTGAAACTGTAAATACAGAATAGTAGGCAAGCTACAGACCACAGAGTCCTGACTAATTGTGGGCAAGCTCTTCACCCTCTGTAGTCTCACCGTCTGCATCTGTAAAGAAGGAAAATAGCAATCCCCATCCCATATTATCGTTGAGACGGTTCAATGAAAGAACACAGTTGGCACAATTTAGTGCTTAGTAAGAAGCAGGCCCTGTCAGGCATTTCCTTCCTTCTAAATTGCCTTCTATGTGGACCACTCCTTCTCCTTTATGCTCATTTGACTGAAAGTTTAAACAAAAACTGGTATCTTTATTTTAAACTGCTGATAATGTCTTACATTTCATATATGGGCTCCCCTTTTGTGTAGTGTGTAATATTTCTAAACTAAATGCCCATTTCATCCAAATGCTTCATTTTAGCATCCTCCTCTGGCAGGAATATTACTCAAACCCACAAAATCAAGACCAACCTGGGCAGACTAATGAGACTATGCAAAACAAGCAAAATAAAACAAAAACAAAATCCTGATACATTGGACACATGCCTGCAAGTACCATGGGGCAATTTGAAAGTTGGAGCTCACAGTGGCAATTGAGTAAAGCTTCAAACCCATAGCCTTTGGTTCTTCCAATCATAAGATAAAATGATATATAGGACTTTTTAAAGAGAAGCTCTTCCAGGCAAGATAAGCCATACTACTAAGAATCTATTAGTAATAAAGTTCAAATTGATTATGAACTATCAATTACTAATATATCTTAATATAAAGATGCTTTTGTGAATAGTCTTCAGTTTTAATATAAGTTTAATATTCTGTGTATTCTCTTCAAATAAGCTAAGACAATTTCTTGTGACCTCCTAAGGGGACTCCCTGCTTGACTCCTTTCAGCTGCTTGTGTCTGTTCATGTCTCTGTTTTCTAGATTTGCTACATGAACATATTCAGCTGCCTCTATATAAAACAGTTGCCCTGCCTTTAACAATTCCTAAAGCAATGGTATTAGCCAAGGGCTAGATGTGCTATAGAATATCCGGTTAAGGCAGCCAGGATGCTGTGGGAAGGATAAGTAGAAAGAGAGTATTCAATTAGAGACCCCGTGGTGGCTGCTAATTTTCATTAAACATGAAAACCTGACTTACCAATCTCTTGGATGATGATAAGCTGCTCTATGTGTATGTTGGTATATTAATAGGTAAATGGATCTTTTCTTTCAAAGGCTCACAAACTCCAAAGACAAGCAGTGGAGAAAGCACTTGAAGACACAAATGCAAGACACAAATTTGAAATTCAGGTTTTGGAAGAGAAACATCAAAAAGAATTAAAGGTTTTCTATATATAATGACTTGGTTGTCATTTGTATGTTTTGTGTGGTTTTTTTTTCTTGGTCTTTTTTGAGACAGGGTCTCCCTGTGGCCCCACCTGGCCTGGAACTCACTATGTAGATCAGACTGGCCTCGAACTCACAGAGATCCTATTTTTTCTACCTCTCTCTTGAGTGCTGGGATAAAAGGCATGCACCCAGCCTTATTACTAAAAATAAATAAATAAATAAATGATTTTTTAAAAAGAAGAAAAATATCTGGGACTATAGTTTAGTGGTAATCTAACATATATGAGACCCTGGGTTTGGTCCAGCATTGAAAAAGAAAAGAAAATTAAAGAAAAGAGACCAAAAGTCTTTAACCGTACCCATCTAATCTATTTCTTTTGTGCGTGTTGCCTTTCAATGTGATTTTTACAGTGTACACATACAGTTTGCCTATTTTACTTAATATCATGAAAATGAGAAATTTCCCGATCAGTCTCAATCTACTTTTAAATCATCTGTTGGGCTGCAGAGATTAAGAGCACTGACTGCTCTTGGAAAGGACCCAGGTTTAGCTCCCAGCACCCACATTGCAGCAAACAACCATCTATAACTCCAGTTCCAGGGGATCTGACAACCACTTCTGACCTCCACAGGCATTGCATGACATAGTGCACTTAGATATATGCAGGCAAGACACTCATACATAAAATAAAAATAAATTTAAAAATAATTTTTAAAATCATCTGTTTAACAGGTTCCCATTTTATGAAGTATGTGAAACTATGATCTCACCTCATAGTATTCATTTAAAACATCAATGCTGTAATATCTAAACAAGCTTTTTCCATTTCCTTTCTTTAAGGATGTAGAAGCTAAAACCAAGATGGAGATGTTTCAAAGCATGGATAATGAACTGAAGAGAGAACATTCAGCTGCGGAGCAACGTATGGTCCATAGAATCCAGAGGATTATGATGGAGTGCCACAGAGAGAAGGTGGAGGCTGTGAAGAAAGCCAGGGAAGAAGAAAGACAGATTGCTCAGGAAGCCATCAAGTCTCAGAGAAGGTATTCCAGAGAACACATTTGCAAATTAATATCTGACTCGGTCAAAATCCACCTGGAGAGAGGAATAATAAGGATCATAAGTAAATATTGCCCAGCATTTTTGTTTTGATTATAACCTATAGCAAATACTGAGACAAGCAGGAGAGAGAGAACCCCAAGGTAACCAAGTCAGGAGCCCAGATCTTGTCAAGTACAAAGAGAAAGCCATGGTTTCCAGATGTTGAGTGACCTGTCCAAGATCCCTGAGCTGTAGCAGCAGAACCAAGATGGACACTCCACTTTTGTTTTGCTGCTTGACTTAAGCATATCCATCTGTGTATAATTAACAGGTAAAATCTTAATGACCAATCTTCCCTAAAATTAAAACCAGCCATTTCAGTGACTAGGAAGAAGGACCAGAGAACTACAGTAGCTTCAGGTTACCACTCTTTTGGCCTGGAGTCTAACTAATTGTGAACATAGAAGAAAAAGTCAAAGAGGGATTTCAATATTTGCTTTGAGGGTCAACTGTGGTCTAGTACAGTATGGTGGGCCCTCTGATCTCTTCCCCCACCTCTCCATCTGCAGGAGTTCTAAGGAGCCTCTGGGTTCACTCCTCCCACAAGCTGCCTCCCTTGTTCTATTGCTTTTGTCCCTTCCAGCCATTTCCTCTCTGAGGTTTAAATGTAAGCTTTTCCATCTCCATCTTTTATTTAATCAATAGGCTAAAATTAAACTGCTTATTATTTAATCACATCCAACTACAATGCCCATTTTGAATGCTTAGGTTTTCTACATACCTGGAAGAGAGCCTGGTACATGGGAAGCATTTATTGAGATAAAAACATAGCTCTCGCCTCAAAACAAATAAGAGTTTATTCTAGAGCCAAATATGAATGACCATGGCTTAGGAATACAGACTCAGGTTACTTCAAATACCATGTTTGAGCAAGGTAATGGTTTCTTTTATGAGTGTGTACATATTCACACAAGATAGGCTTGGCCATCTGGCAACTGAATCCTAAGGATCCACCTGTCTCTGCCTCCCCAACACTTGGAATTACAAGCACATATCACCACCCCAGCTTATGGTTCCAGACGTGTAAGAGTCCATCGTGTTGGGATGGCAGGAAGAGGCCAGAGCAGAGAGCTGAGAGCTCACATCTTCACACGCAGTAGGAAGCAGAGAGGTAAACTGGAAGTGAGACCAAGCAACGAATTCTCAAAGCCCGCCCTCCTGTGACATGCTTTCTCCAGTAAGGCTACACCTCCTAAAAGTTCCATGACTTTCTCCAAACAGAGCCACCAACTGACCAAGTGTTCAAATACTTGTGCCTAAGGGGAAAAGTTCTCATTCAAACCACAACATCCCACTCTGTGGCCCCCATAGACTCATGACCATATCGTAATGTAAATTCCGATGACACAGAATATACTTCCCATTCTAAAAGAGAGGAACAAGGGCATAGTGGGGAAATACCAGACTAAAACGAGGCCAAAAACAAGCAGGGCAAACACTAAATCCTATGACTCCATGTCAGATGTCAGAGACAGTCTAAAGGGCTTAGATGGCTCGACTCCTCCAGCTTTGCTGCTTGTAACATACATCTCTCTCCTGAGCTGATTCCACTTCCTGCATGCAGCTCTCCTTGGCAGATGTCTCCTCGCTCTGGCATCTCCGATATATTGGAGTCTCCACTGCAGCCCAAATTTCATCTTAAAGCTTCACACAATCCCCTCTCAAGGCCTTTTGGGACTCCTCTGGTATGTGCTGCCTGGCCTCAGGGGCTCTCAAAGCCAAGGAGGAAGGATCTATGACCCCTCACTCTTGTATGTTTTATGTCTCTAAAGCTGGAATCACATAGCTGGCACTGCCAAGTTTGGTGACAGCTTGGAATGGACCTTGGCCGCCTTCTTCCACATTACCAGCAGATTTTGTAAGTTGAAGCAATTGCTTCCTGGAAGCAGAAAAATCCTTTAGGTTCTCTTTCATAAGTTGGAAGCTTAGCTAGGTGGGGTTTGACCTGAGAACATGCTTTCCATTGTTCAAGTGCAGTTCAGGAGGCCTCTCTTTAGTGCCTCTAATGTCTTTAAAAATTACAGCCTCTCTTTTAATTTTTTATATTGATATCGATATTTTAATTTGTTTTTTTCTTTCTTATTTTCCATGTATGACTGTTTAGCCTCTATGTATGTAAGTGCACCCTTGTAAGCAATGCCCGCAGGGCTGAGAAGAGGGTGTTGGAGCCCCTGAAACTGGAGTTACAGTCTGTTGTTAGCCATCATGTGGGTGCTGGGAACTGAACCCAGGTTACTGGCAGGAGCAGCACTGAGCAATCTCTTCAGCCCAACAATTATATCCTGTCTTCCAAATCTGGCCTTGCTTGAATCATTAAGCTTCCCAGTGCTCTCTTTTTCTCCAGACTTTACATCTTGTATCTCCTTCTGCTCCACTTGCTCTTTCTCATTGTAGACCTGTGTTTCACCAAATTTTCCCCTCCCCTTTCTTGGGAGACCCAGCCTGCACCCTCTGAGGTCCCAGGCCTGACAAATTGACAGAATACCTTTTATTTTGGGGTTTTTCATAGTTTATCACACCTGGGAAAGGGTGACTTACAAAGCCATGAATTCTTATAGGCTTATATTTGAAATACCTGCCACCAGCTTGCCCCACCTTTTAGTGTCCATTAGCTTTTCTGTCTCCATCAGCTTTTCCCATGCTGCCTCACCCTGCTGGCCCTTTCACCCCGACATCCAAGTGCTTGCCCTGCTGAGTCTATTTGTACCATCTCTTCCTGCTCCACAGTCCAGTCATCATTGTATGGCAGCGGGCTCCCCCCATTCATGCAACTGATTGGATGGGAGAGGTGATGGGCTTCCATCTACTTGACTCCTTCTGCAGAGCAGGAAGGAGGCGGGACTAGGGGTCCGAAGGAGGAACTTCAGGTTACAACCTGAATAAAAATTATCAGTACTAACCAATCCACAGATTTAGTGTATGACTGGCTTGAAATGTCCTCCTCCATCTACCCTCAGACAAGTTCTTAGCACAGGGGCAGAAGGCATCCAGATATTTTGCCAAAATATCACAGGAGAGCCTGGAGAGATGGCTCAGTCATTAAGAGCACTCACTAGCTGCTTTTTCAGTGGACCTGGGTTTAGTTCCCAGTGCCTACATGATGGCTAACAACAGTCCATAATTCTAGTTCCATGGGATCCAACACCCTCTCTGGCCTCCATGGGCCTTGCATATATGAGTATACTTACATGCAGGCAAAATACTCAGACATAAACACACATAAAATAAGACTAAATAAAAAAAAATGTAATCCAAAATATCTCAGAAATGACTTCTATGAGGAACACTTCTCCTTCAAACTTCAATACATAGGTTCTAGGAGTCAAACTCATATCCTCATGTCTCCAAAGCAAGCACTTTACTGGCTGAGCTATCTCCAGCAACCCCTCATGAAGTTTTTATAGTAACAGAAGAAAGGATTATAAATCAAGGCATTTTAGAATACACTGGTAGAAACAACAGATAGGTGTGTTACAGCAAAGGAAGGAGATCTTGGCTATATGACCTCAGTTGTTACCTGATGGTGTCTCCCGATTGGCTAGTTCCTCCAAAGGGTGGGGCCTGATGCACAGTGTGAACGATGGAAGGGAAGCTGGGAGCCATCTTGGGATGGAAGCCAGGAGCCCCAGGTAGAGCGTGATGGTGTAGGAAACCGGCAGCCAGCGCAGCAACTCAAAAGACAGAATGGACTGACTCCCTGTGGACCTGGGGCGAGATCGCTGGCCCCAAAGGTGTGAGCAAATGCTAGCGGGGCTATGGGTATGGCATGGTCTGATAAGACGGGCTCTGAGTCATGGAGGTGGTGGGGTGGGGCTAGGCACTGGGTACTCATTCCTTTGTAAGTTAATAAACTCACATAAAATATATTATATGATTTGTCTGATCATGCAGGAGACCCAGACAGAATTCAGGCCACAGAATTGTTCTTAGTCTTTGGGTTGGTGAAAGTCAAGAGGTGTGTTTGCACATTCCAAAAAGAATTTTACTTGATACTGACAAGATTGATAGGTCAAACAAAGACGTGGATAATAAATGACTATTTAAGGGGTAAAGATAGTCTAAGAAAATTTGACTGTGGATCTCTTAACATTCCAGCTCCTACATCACTAAAGATTTAATCAATCAGCCTTGTAGAATGTTTAACATATGCGCAGTGCTTTTCTCTGAGACCTTCAGTATGAGCCGAGTGGTTGCACTCACTTTTAATCCCAGCACTCTAGGAGGTAGAGGCAGGCCGATCTCTGTGAGTTCAAGGCCAGCCTGATCTATATAGTGAATTCCAGGCCAGTCCCACCATCGGAAGACCCTGTCTCAAAAAGAACAAACAAAAACAAAAAACACACAGTATGAACTAAAAAGGTAAAAGCAACAGATGAAGAAAACATTTTAACCAACCACAAATCATACTTTTTAACTAGATTGACTATATATGTTCTTCTATATCTACAGTTACATTCTTTTTTAAAAATATTTTATTATTTTTATTTTATGTGTATGAGTGTATTGCCTGCATGTATGTGAGTGTGCCCGTGTCGTGCAATGCCATGGAAGTCAGAAGACAGCTTCGGATTTTCTTGGAACTGGAGTTAAGGGCAGCTCATAGCTGCCATGTGGGTGCTGGGAATCGAACCTGGGTCCTCTGCAAGAGCAGTCAGTGCTCTTAACTGATGAGCCATCTCTCCAGCCCCAGCACACACTTTTAATCCTAGCACTCAAAAGCTAATGAGGTGTGGCTATCGAGCAAGTGAAGGCTTTACTCCACTAGAAAGACATAAAAACTTAGTAATTGGATAAAGCCTAAGCACCCATTTTTTGTTTTATATTTGCTTGCTTGTTTGTTGTGTGTGTATGGTGTGGGGGCGGGGTTTGAATGTGTGAGTGCACATGGGGAGGGCAAAAGACAGTTTTTTGGGATTTGGTTCTTTCCTTCAACCATTTGAGT